TACACAAACAACAATTGTACAATTAACTTAAATTTAGTAAACCAGGTGGAAGTCCGCCAATACCGGTTGTATATATCATGTATTTGCTACGTTTTATCTTTTACGTACATACATTTCTGTGTGTTTGTGTTTTCCCAAGATTCCAGAAGAGTATGAAGAGGCTTATGCAGATATCGAAGATGATAGAACAAGGCAATTCTATGGTATGTGCTGTAATTCTGTATAAGCATAGTTCTGTCTAGGGGGACTACATTCCTGTCTTATGAAGCATTAACTGTAAAGCATTATTACTCCTTGTTACGATGGTAACTGTATACACAACTAGAGATCCGCAAACATTCCTTCTGCGCTGGTCGGAAATAACATTTCGTAGTAGATATACATGGTTGCCCCGTTAAAGTGTGTTAAATGAAAAAACAAAACAAAAGAACATTGTCCTATTTTTACCATTGCAGGAAAGCTGACTATGATGGACGATATAATTGGCGGAGTGATCGATGCGCTGAAGAACCGTGGAATGTATGAAGATTCGCTAATAATATTCATAGGAGACGTAAGTGTCCAACGTCTGATTTGTTCAGTTAATTTCTAAATATGTTGATGTCTTAGACAGTTTATGACTATCTGTATTTATCTTCAACATTAGAAGACTAATTTAGAATTAAGTATTTATTTTGAATGGCACTCAAGTTTTTAAGAAAACATATCCTATTTTTTGACTGGGGATGATTACTTTATGAACGTGATTCATTTTTCTACATAGATATCTCAGAATGTTTTCCCTCAGATTTCATCATTTATATTGACTTGAGTCCATAACTTGAGTTGAATAGATGTCCCAGTTTGTATTGTTAAAATATTCATTTATTCATGTTTATTTACACAGAATGGAGCGTTGTCATCCCAAGCCGGCTCTAACTATCCATTCCGCGGTATTGCTGGAACTCTGTTTGAGGGTGCTACTCGTGTACCATCTATTGTCAGTGGGAAGGGAATAAAGAAGACTGGATATGAAAGCAATGAGTAAGTTAATTGTGATAATTGACAATCTCGATGATCGTGACTAAGATTAAAATCCCTAGATCAATTTAACGTCTTAGTCAGAACCAATGACAATATAATAAATAAATAAATACAATAAATAAAAATGTGACACTGCACCATTCAAATAAAATGCACGTGTTTGAAAAGTTCCGCAATGTTGTTGAACCACACTTCCCTAGATAACTTAAGTTCATTTTCACTTGATTCTCAGGTTATACAGCATAGTTGATATACACAGAACAATCCTTGATGTGGCTGGGGCTAAAGCTGGTAAGTTAACACAATAATTCAGTACACTCTGGAAGTATTATGTCTCGTCAAATAATGTTAAATAGTGGGCGTTTTAACATTTACTACAATGTGTTACGTATTGTATTTGACAGAGCCTGAACTTGACGGTTTCAGTATGTTTCCTACATGGTCAGAAGATCTACCATCGCCAAGAAGGGAAATCCTCTATAATATCGATGATGATCCAGTGTCCCCTGGTGCTGCTATCAGGTAAGCAATGATACAGATACACGTCTTATAATCGTTGTGACGACACACATTACAGACACACCACAAACGTACATTTATATGTGTATGTGTATGTGCTGAATGGGGAGGGGAGATGGATATTTAAAACTCGGGTTTGTGAACAAGAATTGAATATTGGATTATTGGTACACATTGTTATTTTAAATTACTGAATAATTAATAATTAATAAGAATTAATTGAAACGATTGTGTACTGCAAAACCAATGTTCTATTCTATGTATTTTATTCTATAATGTAATATAACATAGTATGTATATAATCTCGTCATAAATTATGCCTTGTATGATTTTAGAG